CAACTGGTTTTTAGACTTGTCACGTTGGGACATCTGTTCGTGGTGCAGAAGGAAAAAAGGGGGCGGGGGTAAGTTCGTGGGGGGGGGGGGGCAATAAAGTATGTCTAAAGAGACGGATCTAATATATTTTCTTTGCTGGCACGAAAAGGAAGCACTCCATGTTACTTGTGCGTGCTACAAGAAATGAAAAAAAAAATTTTTTTAAAGAAAAAAGAAAATGTAATTGCACGATTAATGAAATACAACGAAAGTGTCTCTCTTGTTTCTGGGCTCATTGCCTAATGATGATCTGACACGCATTTGACAAACAGATCCTGTTTACTTTCTCAGTGATTAATTCTTTTTCATAACTTTAGCTCCAAATATTGTGTCTTCACCTGAGGATTTTATGGCCCCTATTTTGTTGAGGGGGGAGGCGGGGCGGGGTGGGGGGACTGGGACTGGGGGACACACACACACACACACAGAGAGAGAGAGAGAGAGAGAGAGAGAGAGAGAGAGAGAGAGAGAGAGAGAGAGAGAGAGAGAGGCAATGAAACGTAAAGAACACAAAAGAAAGTTCACATACAAATGCAATAACATTTGTCCAGAGATAAAAACTGATTTCTCATATAACCAATATACAAACTTTATTAAAAAGACAGACAAATTACATTGTTTTGGCTCCTGCCTGAATTCTGACAATTTGGCAAAATAAATAACTAAATGAAAAATTGTAACTTCCCCGTTCATTGCTTTTTATCGATAATATGTTTGTGTTTAGATTTCGTTTTCTATTATCCCTCCCGAATCATTATAACAGACACATAAATCCAAATTGAAATAACAGAATCCCACAGGATCTAGGCGTTGATAGTTTTCATAATGGGATTTGTTGATAGTGATTTTTTTTTTTTTTTTTTAAATGACGAGATTAATTTAATCTTGTGATAGCAAGCTATTGAAAAAATTATCTTCTGAACATTAGAGTGGCGGCTCATCACGGAGTGTTATCTCATTGTTACGTTGGGAATTCGTAAAACTAATAAAGTGTTGTTGAGTGTTTCGATACGATGAACAGACTAAATGTCTGACTGGTTTATCGTTAATTTCGAGGTATGTTTCAGCTCTTCAAAGTCAGAGAGTAATTATTGAATCCTTTTATGTGTGTGTTTCGGGAACCCATTGTTTCAGGGTGGGCTGGGTGGGGAGCGGGTAGGGGGCAGGGGGCAGGGAGATAGAGACATTGCTTTCCTAATAAGCATGTCGTAAGAGTCGACTAATTTGGGGTTCCTTCTAAGTCGGAAAGCATCTGTCTGGGGACAAGGAACCAACAGCATGCACAAAACTAAGCCAAACCTCTAAACCGGGTACCAGGTGTGCATGCAAACCGCACGTTCCGGATCAACACTTGAGTTCAGGAGTTAACGAACATGCAGAAGTTTTTACTGGAGTTTGCAGCCAGTGAGCATGAACAGAAAGAAAATCTGTTATTGTCTGAAATATCTACATTTTAAGATTAACCCTGGCGGGATTTATCATTTTTAGCCAAAAGCTTTTAGTGTGCTGAAAATTAAAATGACATTTAAAAATGTTGATTGGCTCTAGTTTTGAAGATACTTGCTACTAGTTTATTAAACTACAGTTAATTCGTATATACGGCACAACTGTTTTTGGGCGCTTGCCTAGTTTTCTTTCCCCAGTGACCAATGACAATAGAGTGGTTTGGCCACTTGATGCAAATGCAAACCGACCAACTACCTCTACGAGCATACAACGAACAGCACTACTGCCCTAGAGCAAGAGACAGACCGAGAGTACGATGGATAGACAATATATCAGAGATCCTGAGGCAACACGGACTAACAACAACACGTGCAACACACCTGGCCCAGGATAGAAAACTGCGACTCCCCACTACGCTGTGAGGCAATTGTGGACAAGACAAGACAAGACAAGACAAGTGACCAATGACAATGTAACTAAAAGTTGATTGTTCAACCATACCTATAATACATCACCTTTTCGTTACTACATTTGTCCTTATCAAAAATATCGTATTCAGAAATGCCTAGGAAATGTGGGAAGAAAACTATTTATTTGTTATATATGTATTTCTTTTCTCACAAACAAACACACACACACGCACACGCGCACACACAGAAACAAAACATAACTAAAGTGATTAAGAAGGCGGCGGCAGACTAAGAGATAAAGATACAAGTGAGACGCAACACGAATATCGCAATACTGAAAGAAACTCTTACTGACTGACAAAAGGCAAGCAATGTCTCTTACAGTCCCAATGATTTACAGAGAGTCCATTGATCATTTTAAGAACTGTTACTTGGGTCTGGTACCTCCAGTTGAGAAAGACATATCAAAGAAGAAAATATGGACTCTGGAGTATCTAAACACTCCCATATGCCCGGTATCTAGCAGTTTCCGAAGTGCCAGAATCATTTTCAGCTGCTTTCACTGATGAAGAAGAATGCACTAGTGGGTCTCAACCTCTCATAACCCAATAATATCTTGTCATCACTTTGTGGGATGCAATTTTTCGTTATTTGAAGCCCTACTCTGGCTCTTGCCAGGGGCCGCAATATGGTGTAATGGCGGAACATGGTTTCTGGAACCTCTCCACGGATGATTCATCCATATAGTGGCACTTTGTGTCATCGGGTGTTTATCGCTTGCGTGATGTCCTAGTGGGGTGAAAGAAGATAGATAGAAAGATCAAGTGACCCAGATCTTCAACAAACGGCATCCACTAAAGCAGACTTGATAACTCAACGTGAACTGAACGATTTTGCTGAATTTACTGAAGAACAAGGAGGAGCTTTTGGGTTCGAAATTTGCAAAACTGGAATCTCCTGGCATGAGATATCAGTGAAAATGTTATATACTGAGCGAAGATTAAAAGAGAGAGAGAGAGAGAGAGAGAGAGAGAGAGAGAGAGAGAGAGAGAGAGAGAGAGAGAGAGAGAGAGAGAGAGAGAGAGAGAGAGAGAGAGAGAGAGAGAGAGAGAGAGAGAGAGAGAGAGAGAGAGAGAGAGAGTTTGTTGGCGTTCAAATTCGAAAACTTCTTAATGATGAGATGTTTATTTGCATGTTGCTTGAAAAGGAAAAAGCAGCATGGCTAATATTTAAGTCAGTGGTGAACAATTTTCTTGAAACCACAGATCTGATAATCACAACGATATTGTAGAAAATTTCCTTCTGGAGTATGAGAGTCATGTTTGCACCATTTTCAGGATTTTCATCTGGATTTCTTTGAGTCAGACTGTGGATGGAGTTGTAAGTGTTGAGCATGGTCAACGAATTCGTCAGGACATTGCTTCCATGGAAACAAGATATCAAAAGTCCTTTAATGCTTGTTTTTCATTACTGGACTGTTCAAATGGCACCTGCCTCATCAACTGACCACAAGAAGCAAGTGAGTCCGAACAGCGATTGTACAATGACAGAATGGGTTCAGTAGTGTGTTTTTAAAACATTTTATGTGAGCTTTAAATAATGTTTTGTTTTCTTTTTAAAATATCATGTTGAAACACTAATTAACTGAATATGAAACCAAAGTTTGTTTTTAATGCCAAAGTAGAAACAATAACTGTTAACACCAAAAAATTCAACAACCAAACAGTTTGTGCTTTTCTGTAATGTAAATTCATCGTCAAAAACACGAATTGGAGTTAAATTATAATTGTCACTATGGTGTTTGAAATGAGCATGTCAAAATCAATAAGAAACGATGGATTTAAATTTTGAAACAATCAACGTTTGCAAATTTGTTGACAACATTAATGAGAAGACATTGATGCTAGTTAAATTTCATACTGTTTTTTCCCCCCTTCTCGTGAGAAACATGTGAAATGTTTCCTACACAGATGTGTGTAGCGTCAATACAATTATGATACCAAAGGGGGAAATAACAAACTTGAAGCTTCACTGCAAATAAATATCCACAGAGTAAGAACAATTCAGGTCACAGCTTTTTGAAAAGCAAAATGATGCTCTATCCACCTGGGTTATTTTTGTGGTATATCGATTTTATTTTCATATTTCCATATAATATATTTATGTTTGTTCCTTGATTTCGGTTATGAAGTATTGTATAGATTATGAATTATTTGTAATAAATGCAGAATGTAAAATACATTAGGCATATTTAAAAAGAAATTCCGAGGATTATACTGTGTCAGTCATCAACTTTCAAAAATATTTACTACATATCTGTAAATTAGCATCAATTTAATTTAGAATATAACCGTGGAAATAACAAACTTGCAGTTTTCATTACATAAGGGTATGAATACACAGAGACAGAAAAAAACATGCACCACACGCGGGCATATCCCACGTCATCTTAAAATTATTAGTTACTGGTCATAACTAGATGTCGTGAGAAATGCGTCTCTCTCCCTGGATTTCATTGAATAAAATATACTAGCCTTCATACGGCACAGTTTACATTATACACTGTCGGTTGCAAGTTTTTCTGAAAAGCCATACGATGAAGATACGTGACACACAAAAGCAGATGATGTGAAGATAGCAAATTAAATAGAATGGTTACAAGTGGGCGTTTGAGCAATACGATCCTGGTAGGTTTCCAAGTACGATACCAATTCATACAAATAATTCCTTAGCAATAGTAAAGTATTCCTTCAAGCTTTTTCTATTGTAAATGAAGATATGTCGATGTCTTAATTCACGAGACATGTAATATCCGCTGCAGGGAAGGTAAAAGCGTTACTTTCTAGAAGGCATTATTTTTATTAAAGAGAATTAAAGCTGAACATCATACAACTTATTTCTCAATCCACTCGTGGTTGAGTTTGAAGTACACCTTGCCATCTGATATGTCAAAGTGTTTACCTTTTTGTCAATTAACCATAACCGAAATAATTGTTATGTTGACTAGAAAGGCAAGCCCATTCTGAAAGTTTATTGTCCGGAGTAAGAACACAAATTACCCTAGCATACTATTGTGATGTCTCAGAATTATTGTGCGCCGCAAGGTTACAGCAAGGCATCGACATCTATACTCATGTGCATTGTCTTTGGCAGATTTTTCAACCCCGGTGTCTTCGATTTGCCTGCCTCGTTTCTGTTAGAAGCACTCATGCTAGGCTCGGAGTTGGACGTAGCAGAGTCAATTCTGTACATGAGCCTAGAGTTGTCTCTTCGCCCATAGGATTTCTGATATGGGCAGGAGATGATGTGTGGAGGAGGTGTGCCTTTGCTACAGCTAAAGTGCGTTACAGGCATGCTAGAATGGTGGGATTTCCGGGACGAGGCGAGATCCGAGCTGTTGGGGGGAGTGAAGTCTGTAATGCTTACTCGTGGTGCAGATCTCGCTGGAATGCTGCCGGGTTCTGACTGAATGGAGTGAAAGTTGGCATGTAGGTGGGCTAACCGAGCCTGGCGCATCCTGTAGTTATGACTTGGTGGGTGGCGTTTATCGGTAAGCGACAACGTTCGCTCAAATCTGTGCCCAGGCGCTCGCATCTGTTTTCCTATCCCGTTAATGCCTCGGCTACCATTACACAACCGGTCTGCGAGGCTTTGAGGTGAAGGATGATGGCTGTGCCTAGAAGTTTTAGAGTCGGCAAGGCTGTCACCCTCGCTATGTTGCGAAAACATGTCTTCGTCACGATCATGCTCGTGGTAGTGAGTAGTTGTGTCACTCATCTCGTACCGGTCATCCGGGTAGTGGGAGGACATTGAGTCGTATTTGCTGGATTCCGCTGCAGCGGTGCGGGGTGTCCGCACCAAATTGGGGCATCGTGCTAGCATGACAATGAGCACGATGATGGAGAGAGCTAGGACAGCGCCAATACTGGAGCCAATAGATACAGGGATGTGCCAGCTTGTTGTAGCAGCGTCCACGCATTCCTTCATCGGTACGGACGTGTCGTTGCGGTACAGTAAGACACACACCTGCAAGAGAAACAGTTCAGTATCATTTATTTTACCTGATGTTATTAGCAATGTTTAAAAAAAAAAAAAAAATAAGACCAGCAATATGGCTGTGCAACCTGGAGTACAGAAAATAGTGCGTTTTAAAAGTTGTGCCGTCACTTTAACAAATATCTCGAATACTTACTTCTGTACGGATTATTACAAATCTGTGCATCAAGATTTCGCATGTCCCTGTGATTTCACAAATTTACAATTACACAAGTGTCGCTGTTTTTTTAACAAGGCGAATTTAGTCGATCTTTGTTTGACTAATAATTTATATCATATATATTCTTTTTAGAAATAAACACTTGAATACACAGGAACCGAATAAGCGCGGATATTGTTTTGAAATCATATTACAGGTGTAGCTATGAGTGGTGATGCTGTTAATAGCCTATCCTTCATACAATGAAAACCTATGTTCATCTAACTTACAAGGCTCATGCTGGAGATGACCACATGAGACGGACATACCTATGAAAGTCGTCAATCTGATGTTTTTAAAAGTTCCACGTACTCAGTTTACTCAAAATACTGTGATTTTGTTGATTGTTTTCTTAAAATCTGTGTCTGTTTTTCATATACCGCCAAAAAAAAAAAAAAAAAAAAAAAAAAAAAAAAAAATGCAGAACTAAAACTAGATGTTTACGTATGAAAAAAAAAATATCTTACAAGAACCTGCTTATTAACAGGTTGCATTTCAGATGTCAACAATTTACACCGAACGGTTTACTGGGTTACAGATTTTTAAAGTTGGGCACAACTTTTTGAACAGACTATAAAGGAGTCGAAGCTATATTATAAACTGTTGATTCCAGAGTCTTACTACGAATCTGTTGACCCAGCAAAAGATGCAAACAAAAATGGAGAATTAGAAGCATCAATAACATTCACTAATCTATTTAAATCATTACTAACTACTAGAGAGCCGCCGCGGTATAGCGGTTAGAGAAGATCGAGGATTCAAATTCTCACGAGATATGTTTTTTTCCAGACCTGAACCTGGCTTCCAAGTCGACACAGCCTTAAATGGGTATCAAGTAGTCATGACGAAAAAAAGCGACTGGTGTGATGATGACAGCATCACCCAGTAGAGTTGAGTTGAGTCCTGAAGTGACATCACAGCACTCGGGGCATTCCCATGCGTTCTTCGTCCTCATCTTCAGCAGCCAGCGCAGAGTTCCAACACTGATGGTATCGTCACAATCTGGTTGTATGTCCGTCTTGCATTTCCTCTGAGTGTAGGGAGCCGGTCAGACCCTCTGGTTACACCCAGGTGCCCCATTATCTCCAGGGCCATAATAATATTCTTTCTCTACTGATTCTGTTGCTTGTTCCTAAAAGGCCTTGACGACATCTGCCTTGTCTTGTTTCAATTCACCACCCAGTGGTGCAGATGCAGCCAATCTGTCTGTCTGTTCATTACCCACCACACCAGGCACTGCCTGGAGAAAAGATCCAAAGTATGCTCACTACTCGTGACCTTCCCAGTAAAGCTTGCCACTCTGCTCGAAGCATCCTCTCTTTACCTTTCTTAGCATGCCTTCAGATGCTGTTTCAATTACGACATGTGTATGCATCTTGTTACCACATCACCCATCGTTTGGTCTATACAAAAATGAGTCTTGCCTCATATGCCCAATGCGCCACTGCCACGAAACGGGACTTCACTTTTTTATTTTATTTTTAAAACTAATTATAGGTATCACAGGGGCTTGCAGTCTGCAATGGTTTGGCCACATGGAGTGATTGGTAGCTATCAGAAGAGCTGAATGGAAACTGGAAACCGTCATGATGGTCTAAGAACAGTTTGAGTCCAGCAGCGTTATGAACCCGATGCATCATTGGCTTGCTTATTTGCTGATTTTGGGGAAGGGGAGGGGGGACATCTTACCACGTTTAACCAGCTCCTAACCAAAATTGCAAAGGGCCTTTTTCCGTTACCTCACAATACTGGGTATATAGGGCCAGACTTACATTTTTTAACCAATCAGCATTCGGTGGGTGATGTGGCCAGCATCAGCCCGGCCGCCTTTACTTCCCAGGTATATTACTTGGTACTGATTTAAAGCCCAGGGGTTTAGACACAGGGGGGTAGTCCAAGCGTTCATTTAAAAAAAAAATGAACTTAAAGAGTTAAAGCTGGGTTAACCTGGACTCCAAGGTCATTTTTGAAAAAAAAAACAGTCCGGTTGGTCAGGACATGAACCCATGACCTTCGGATCAGCAGGCCACAGCGGCTCACTTTAAAATAAAAAAAAAAAAGGTAATAATTATGCAGCGAAGCTGCTTTGGTTATATTTATGGTGTGGTTATCTGTACCAGTTGTATTTGCTGATACTGGGTTGAAAGTACCAGGCGGATGACTCTGTGTCCCTAACCGAACCTTTGACCTCGGTAAGTGACGTTTAACACCCCCCCCCCCCCACACACACACACACACACTTTTCCCAAAAAAGGACATTAGAACCAAACATCAAGCAATTAACCCTGGTGACATAAAGTGCCACTATTCGGATGAGAATCCCCCCGGTGCAAGTCTCAGAAACCCCGTACAACCGTAAGGGTTTTATTAGAACCTCGACTACAGTTATGAAGTAACGAGAAGTTTCAGCCGGTGTGTGGCTGTAATATGACGAAAGTTTTGCCCCACGTCGGAAATGGAGCGAATATGTTAACCTTGGCGTGAAAAGGGACGGTTATGTATAAACCCAAGTTACCTCATAGTAAGTATCAGCAACAAGATTCCTGATGCTGTAAGAGTCTGCAGATGGCGGAAGGAAACCGCTTTCTTGATGAAAAGAACTTGCTAGTCTGTGGTACTGAACTTTGAACCCGCGGACGTATACAGGACCAAGTCCCTCCCACGACCACTTGATATATATTGACGAAGCCGTTGAAGACGTCACTTCCGGGCTAAGCTTTAGAGCATCTTCTTCCAAATCCTCGTTAGCCATGATGGCTGGCAGTGTTGCTACTGGTAGGTACATGTGCGATCTGTGCTGTTTTCTGTTTCACGTTTTCACAGTTTTGAATACAGAGTCCTTGGTCTCTGCAGGAGTAACCCCCGTGCTTCCAGGAGAATCCAAGCAATTTAGTAGCGTGGAATAATATCAAGCCGGGCTAAGTGAACAGCTGAGAGATTGAACAGCTTGGCCATTGTTCTATTAACTGTTAAATAAGATAAGCAATATTAATTAGCAACGAATTCCAGAATGTCTAATCAGTTTCAACATTGCACTAATTCAGCTGCTTCTAAACTATGCCAGATTTAACAGATTTTTTTTTTTTCTTTTTTCAAATCTAGAAGACAATTTAGAAAGGTCGATAGTAATCCAAGAAGATTTCATCAACTTTAAATAGCTACCTCTGTGATGGTTACGGTAATTCTACAAAGCTTTTCCTGTGAACACTCCGTCACCTCTGGAAGCTTTTCCTGCGACGACTAATCTATAAGTCAAATAATTAATGTTGCAGTTTTGAGTAGCCTTTCCATGATTACATCAACTTAAGTAGCTTTAAAGAAATAATATTCGTCTAGCCAATATTTCACAAAGTTGTTTCGTAGCTAGAAAGTAATGGTTAACGCCTATGCTTATGCATATTTTTGACTTATAGATGTTGGGCAGCCAACCAAGACTTTCCGGTCAAAGGATTAGGCTGACGGCTAAATCTGGGTGTTTTTTCGTTAAAAGGGTTTCGCTGGTGGCTAAATTTGGTGGTTTCCCGTTGAAAGGGTTTCGCTGGTGGCTAAATCGGGGTGTTTTTCCGTTGAAAGGATTTCGCTGGTGGCTAAATCAGGGTGTTTTCCCGGTGAAAGTATTTCGCTGATAGCACAGTTATTTGACACACATATCATGGACCTGCCGGGTTTTCATGGTTTTACAGCCATGTTAAATTAAGATGTCATGTTATGACGGCTTAAATGTATGTAGATTGCCATCGTTGGTGATCAGGATGTTAACCGACGATCTAAAATCTGGCAGCTGGTATAGTCATCATCAGTATAGTCTTCTTGGTGTGTTGTTAACTGACAGCTGGTACAGTTATCATCAGTATAGTCTTTTTGGTGTGTTGTAACTGACAGCTTGTATAGTCATCATCAGTATAGTCTTCTTGTGGGTGTAACTGACAAATGGTATAGTCATCATCAGTATAGTCTTCTTGGTGTGTTGTAACTGACAGCTGGTATAGTCATCAGCAGTATAGTCTTCTTGTGGGTGGTAACTGACAGCTGGTATAGTCTTATCGGTGTGTTGTAACTGACAGCTGGTATAGTCATCATCAGTATAGTCTTATCGGTGTGTTGTAACTGACAGCTGGTATAGTCATCATCAGTATAGTCTTCTTGGTGTGTTGTTAGCTGGTACAGCTTTTAGGTAATCTGTTGAAGAAACAATACAGATGAATCTCAGGCTATCTACAGATACAAATAATTGTTCTGTCTACTATCTCTGTGACCTTCAAGTTACTTGTCAACTTGTGATGGGAACACCTGCAGTCGCGCAAGAAACATTTCTGTTTCTGCCACCACCACAATAATTCTCTCGTGGTCACTCACATCGACAGGTTATTATCATCATAACCGCAAATTGCCTTTGCCAAAATCACCTAGGGATCATATCATACACGCGTTCTCAAACACGCAGACATACGCACACATTCACAAACACACAATTATGCCTTGCATTTCCGTTAGCATCTTTAAATATCTGAACATCAAGGAAGATTGGCTAATAAACAGCATCCTATCTCGGAAGCTCAAAAATTTTCGTCATATCAAGCGCCATGACGGATTGGAAACAAATTATAGCAGAAGGCATGGACCAGGAAGGAGGGGCAGGGGCCCACCGACACGAAGATGGGCACAGGATATAAGTGACTCCTTAAGTATGAAAGTACATGAGGCGGAAGAACTAGCGTGAGACCGAGTTTCTTTCAGGAAGACTGTGATGACAGCGACGCTCTGCAAAGGACCTGCTACATGATGATGATGATTCCGTTAGGCCGTTTTAGTCTCGCTATCAGCATTTCCACAAGATGCTCTTGTATCTTTCACACATACACACACACACACACACACGCACACACATATACACTTTCGCACACGCATACACTCAAACACACCACACACGCGCACACACACACACGCACTCACACACTCGCACACCGCACACACACACACACACACGCACCCACACACGCACGCACACACTCGCACACAGCACACACACACACACACACACACACACACACACACAATACCGGCACAGATTATCAGCTACGCAAAAAAATGATAACAAGACAGCGACATGAAGAAATCAAATAGATGTTTTCGCGGCAAAATTCCAAGGCCATGCGAGCAGTGTTGCCACTTTGGATGTTTTACATCCAGATTTAGATGTTTTACCTTGCATTTAGATGGCGTTTTTGACGTTTACATGGTAGATGTTTCTCTGAATGCTTTTCATTTCGAGTGAATTTATCAAATATAACCTAAGAAACAGGATGAAATTGACCTCTTAAATGCTATCTTTACAATAAAATTCGGCCTGATAACAGTAGGAAAAGGTTGTTCCACTTATCAGCTCCCTGATTGGGTATTAAAAGAAATTGGAACAGCTATAGCATACCAGAGTCATTTTTGGATCTGAAGCTTCAACTTCATCATCCAAGCTAAGTTTATCCTGTCGATCTTGTTAGGCAGACTTCAGTAAAGATGAGAACATGATTCTTTAGCGTAAGTCATATCAATTGCTATGTAATTTATTACTCTTTCCGTTTGGATGTTTTTTCTAGATGTTTTCCACGCAAATTTAGATGTTTTTAGACATTTTTTGATTCCGTTTTGGATGTTTTTTGTTAAAGAAAAGTGGCAACACTGCATGCGAGTATTGTCTGCGGCATCTAAATACCAAGTGTCGAGGTTTGTCATATCACGAGCTGTTAAAATGTCTGTGTTTCAACATATACACAAGTTCTCTATGTCAGGCTAGCCTATCAACATAATTGTCTTGTGCTGCCAGAAATGTTAAGAGTACTTGTGATATTATGGTGTACTGTGTTACAGAATTTACTCAGCTTTGTTCTTTTGTCTGTTGTTGTAACAATGAAGCCTGGGAACTATGGAAGCCCTTCGGTGTTGTCTTTCTTCCTGGAGACAATAATTCATGAGGGTTTGTTGTTGTTGTTGCTTCATCACTGGGGTGAAGTGAAAACCTATGATGTCATCGTATAAAGAAACACACACACGCACACACACACGCACACACACACACACACACACACAACATACACACCTACACGGTGTATTTTTAAAATGAAACAAGGTCAATGGAACTGCTACAGAAGAGTTCCATCAAAACTGTTGTTGTTACCTAGTCTTCTGTCTTAGGTGATTTCCTACTGTCTGTTCTGTCATATGATTTATGGTATCTTATTTTACAACTAATTTCGGCTATCTACAGAACACACAGTTAATGTTTTCTACCGTCTACTATGAGGTCTATTTTCTGATGTATAACTGATTGTATAAACCAGTTCTTGTTTTTTACCGTCTACTTTGTCATGTGTTTCCTGGTGTATAACTGATTGTATAAAACAGTTGTTTTCCACCATGTTCTCTGTCATATGTTTTCCTGATGTATACCTGACTGTATAAAACACATGTTTGCTACCGTCTGCTCTGTCATGCAAGGCTTTCAATGAAGAACTAGTTGTCGCTATGCGGAGAGACCAAGCCTTAGGGGATAAAATCTGGTGCCAAGAGATAAGATCATCTCGATTTTGAAAACCCTCGATCTATGATTTCTTGTTTAGCACAAGGCCATTTGTAGGTTCCACTGTTGTTTTCTCAATGTTCGTGTTTTTCTGGAGTCATTTCGGTCATTTCATATCCACGTGCACTGTCTTAGCCTGGAGAGTTGAGTCACTACTGCATTCCTGTTTGATATCTTTTCACTGCATGATTCCCCCCCCCCCCCCCCCCCCGTTTGCCGCTGGGGCTCAGGGCCTGTGTCGACTCCGTTGGCTCTTTTCATACAGGCCTGCGTTATCTCCTCACCATGTGTTGGTGCTGTAGGCATGCTTTATAGGGCCAGTTTTAACATACGGCTGTGAAGCCTGGACAAGCCGAACAATATCTCGAGGCCTCGGAGATCTGTTTTTTCAGAGGACTCCTCAGAATGCAGTGGACAACTAAAAGAGCAACCCAGATGTTTTGAAAGAGGCGAATGCCCGAAGACAATTTATCACACACATCAGAAAGAGACAGTCGTCATTTTTTTAGTCATGTTATGAGAAGAGGTAAACTGGAACATGTTGTTAACACTGGAAAGATTTGTGGAAAGTGAGACAGAAGTAGATAACGCGAGAAGATTCTAGACAGTCTTTTGTCATGGCATGGAGGGTTGACTGCACACTAACTGATACATTCTCTTGCGGATCGCAGATTGTGGAGAGGCATAATCGCCCATGCCATGGCGCTTGAGGATGATGGGGCGCCAGCAATTTTTTTTAGAAGGGGGGGGGGGGGGCTCAGGGAAGCTGTGGCCCCTTCTCCCAAATAATTGAGGTTAGACTACATTTGACATGAATTCAACTGGAATAATTGGCGGTATATCGTCAGACCTGAGTGTGCCCTTATTTCTATCGTGAAATAGCAGGGGTGATCGAACAAATGTGGGAATGTGTTAACATAGAAACCAGATCCTTGGCGTAGAGTTTCCTCAATTCCCCCCCCCCCCCCCCCCCCCCCAATATCCCCCATCCCCTTTTTGTATATTAATTTACAGAGACCCATTCTAATAATGTAAAAAACTCTAAGTGATAGTTTAAGAGATCATTTATGTATAGTGCATGTCTTCATCTGGATTTTTGGGCCTCGGTTGTAAAATGGGGAGGGGCGGGGGAGGGGAAGAATAAACCCACTGCCTATTTTTTGCCTAGGTGGTGATGAGGGCCTGGTTGGAGTAAAGTTGGGACCCCCTGC